CTAGCCTTAAATAGGTTTAAATTAATGCTATTCATCACAGGGTGGGAAGGAAGACAGGCAAACCATGCCAATAGAATTGGGAAATTTTCTAACCAACACAGTCAAACCTCTTAGCCATAAACAAACTGATTTCCATTCAAAGGCTTCCTCTCCACCAGCGTTTGCCCCGTGGTCCTGCGAGCCAGCTTCCATCTTCTTCACTTTGCCCTAAGCACAGGCTTTTGTTACTAAATTCAAGGGAAAGGATATTGTTACTATCCTCAGGTTACTGCAGAACACACTTAAGGCTCTGAAAGTCACATTTAATCTCCAGTTTGTTGGTTGCTAGAACTATCTGTATGGAATTAAGAGATAAAACTGTATACATGTATCAGTGATTTACAATATGTCAATGAGCCAAAAATTCTACCATGAATTTGGCTTCAGGTCAGGATTGGAATACTGGATACAGACTAGGTCTCTCTTAATTTTAAGTTTCACCATATATTGATCTTATCCCTTCTTTATCCAAACCTATTTTATCACCAGAAATCATGGACCTACGTGCACAAGTTTCTGCTAGGGAGCGTGTTAAGTTTCTGAAGAAGTTTAATTATGTATGTACAGCCCTAGTCTTGAAAGTAAACACATATACACATATACTTGCCAGTAGAACATGCTGAGTATATGTTAGAAACACAACACTCCCTCTAACAAATGTGCCAAGTCACCTAAAAATCAGTACATTGTAAACATTAATTGGACATAGACTTATAAAATAGAACAAAATATGACTCATTTTAATGTTTCAAATTATCTTATATGTAGTGTAACCTTATGCGTAATTATCCCACGTTTTTAAAAGTATCTTTTGAATATTATTGAGATCATTGCTACTGAGTAAGCAGCACTCTGGGTGCAGCAGCCTGGGTTGCACGCATGCACACAAAGCACACACTCACAGGCACTCCCCATCTTACACCTGCTCTGAAGCAGTAGGAAGTGAATTCTCAATCTGTCAACATGACCATCTGGTCTATCTGCATATCATGGCTTTCTCTAGTACTATATGAAGGAATGGCAGTCACGAGGCCAAAATAAAACTAACGCGCACCTGAATGGGAATAGCTCTTTTGGCTGAAATGGAACCACGTGGCTCATCATAGCCAAACTAGCAGAGTCCCGACTTAAAGTGAGTATTTCTGAAAGCATCACCAAAGGAACACTTCGGTACAGTCCATGTGGTGATGAGTGACACTGCCCTGCAGGTTACAAGATGGGTACCAAGACGCTGGGAATACTGAAACAGCTCTTCCTGCAAGGGCAGAGACAGAGCAACCATCAGCTCCTGTACCCCACAGACGTGTTCACTTCCCATCCTAAAACTCACGCGTACTCGCACTGCCATGAGGGCATCGGTTCCCTTGTCGTTGGCTAATTAGCAGTTGCAGCAATTTGCTGACAATTTTGGTCACTTGATCTTTCCAAGTGGATTTTTTAAGACAGCTGAGGATACGTGCGGTCTTAGAAAACTCCTCACCTTTAAAAAGTGACAATGGTTCAGCTTTGGGCCCATTGCCACCTGCAAATTAGCAAGGGCCTCTGTTGAACTAAACATAATTCCATTTGCTTCATTTTAGATTTTAAGTGTCGCCACATGTAAAGACTACCTCAGAGCTGTTGCTGTTCTCCACACCAGGTAGTACCAAACATAAACAGTGAGTATCGTTTTATGTCGTAACAAAAGCAATCTACCTCTGTCCTAGCAAAAAGTCCTTTTAAAAGTCCAACCGCTTAACAAAATTTAACTAATTTAACAGAATCCTTAGAATCTGATTACATTTCCAGAAGTTGTACAGAAGCAGTTTCAAAAAAATGTTAAAAGAAAAAAAAAAAGAAAGAAAAAACTCTTCACAAAGTTCTCGGTTGAGTGCCTACTAATGAACAAAGGTTAACTTTATCTAAAAGGTCAAATGCCTGGTGGCTAAGGTTATGACCTTAACAACTTAAATTGTGACCTTGCCACGTGCCGGGTATATTGTAGATTCTGATACAGATCATCTGGTAAAGGCTGGTCATAAATTAGCTTTACTGTTACATGCCCACAAAGAAAACCATTTGCCATGATACCACGATAGTACCAACATGGAAAGACAATGCAAATAGAGACCAAATTAAAGACATAAAATGGTTTTGTTGTTTTATGGACCGAACAGGATGAAAGTTTCAGGCTTATGGAATCATGGGATTTCTCTATACTTCTCTCTGTTTACTTGACACAAAAGTCACTCAATTCTAATTCTAATGCCACTAGACTTAGGGCTGCAGTCAAAGCACTAAAGCACTGGCTTTTATCATCCCTAAGCCTTAGCCAAAAAAAACAAAACAAAAAACAAAAAAACAAAAAAACCTCTGCTTTTAACAAATATTTGCTGACACATTTGCTTCCAGTATTCACATTTCAGTGTTTTGCCAAAAAAAAAAAAAAAATCAACAACAACAATAAAACAAAACAAAAGGCTAGTACATGAAGTAATAATCAATGCACATGTTTTAAAAGAGGTTAGGGAATCTCATTTTGGTGGTTATATAGGGGAGTTGGAGGCATTCTGGAGGAAACAAGTGCATTTTCAAAGAAACAGGGGAAAAATGCAGTACAGGTGCAAAGGCCACAACGGTTTTGGCATGGATCTCGAGAAGCACGCACGCTTCAGGGTCTCGCTTCTTGCCAGTACTGGCAAGTTCTCAAAACTTTTAAGGAGGTAGAAACATTGTTTAGTGTTTACAAATCTTCAGCCTGATAACAGATGCCTGTCAAATCAGCTGCACATAGGTTCGCCGATCCACCTATCAGCAGTAGCAGCTTCTCTGCCACAAATAAGAGGTTAAAAAAGAAATAAATACAAATATCTTAAATCAAATTTGAAGTATTTCCTGATGAAGGGCTTTTACTATTTTCTTTTTGCAAGCGCCCTATTGCGGGCACCACGGGCAGCCATGACAGCAGTGCTCTGGAAACCACTGGTCAGGCATTTGGCTAGTATTCAGGCCCCAGGAGGGGGATTCTGGGATACACAAGGAACACCAAACCCAAGGTAGTCTGATCCATGTGGCTGTCAATAAATCTTTCATAAGCTGTAAGACTGCTAACTCTCCTAAGAAACCTCCCAAATGTCATTAGAGCAGCATCCCACCAACCAGAAACAGCATTGTCTTAAGGACAGGAAGTAGCTGCACAATAATGACCCATCACAGAGAAAGGTGAACCAGTGAAGGGCGTCAGTTGCTGGCACCCTCAAGTTTCGAAGTTGCCCAATTAGGACAGGCACTATCACTAATAAATTCTTTTCCTAAATATCTAAATGATAAACACATGATGTAAAGAGTTCTCAGAAAGCACTGGGAACGCCTATAACAGTTTTACGCCCTCAGGCACTTAACACATACAAATAATGAAGAAGAAAAAAAACACCTAACTTTGCTTTTACTGTAGACAAGGAAAGTGGACAGCAAGGTTAAGGAGGGTTAAGGAAAGGCCACTTGTCCCCGTCTAGAACTTCTGCTGCTTCGACGGCTAAAACAACAGGCATGCCTTGTGATTGAGTGTACGTTTTCAAAAGCCCAAATATTTGAAACGTTTTCAGAGCACATCCTCTGAAACACACATCTATCCCCTGCCAACACAACACAAATGATGATGTGACATGCTTGCAAAGTCAGTTTCTCCAGTTTCTTAAGTAAGGACAGATGGGTAACAAAAGTTCTCTTTCTAAATCATATATTAGAAAAACAGAGAGAGTGAAATGTTAGCTGATTTCTTTGAAAGTTAAAATTTTTCAGATTTTAAAAGTCTTTTGCAAAATAGTGTTGATTTTTCAGATAGTATATTTTCTCTTCATTGTGGGGAAAAAGAAAAATGTGTGGGAGAGAGAGAAAGAGTGTGTGTGTGTGTGTGTGAGAGAGAGAGAGAGAGAGAGAGAGAGAGAGAGAGAGAGAGAGAGAGAGAAGAGAGGAAGAGAGAGAGAGCCCTCCCAAACAAGTCACTGATAGGATTCCACAACTTTCTTTCTCCCATCTGGCTTAAGTAACTGCCATGAAAGCAATCTAGCAAGACTGATATGTACATATAAAAAGTCAACAAGTTACACAAGACCTGAGCTTTCGCGTAACACAATGAGCCTTTGTCTAAAACAAGATGAAAAGAACAAAGTAAAGCTGCATTATTTCTCCCAGCCCTCAACAGTTGATTCCTGAATACTCTTCTGAAGCACACCCTGGTAAGACATGTCTCAAAATCAACAGCGGATCTCATGCAAATCAAAATAGGTCGATGGATCAATTACCAATAGTTATTTCTCAGTGCATTCACCCAGGCTGTGCAAGCTGCTCACATTTAACATCACCTGCTTAGAATTCGGTTGGTTAGTTTCCTTCAGCTATTTGAAATGACACAGAGAATTCCCACATACGAAGCTGCTAAGCTTGTATATTAATGTGATTATCTTCCTCTCATAAATGCCCTGCATTTTGATAGTAACCTTACCTCCAGCTTTTTAATTGGCAAGGGGTGCAAGAGGCCTCAAAAGTTTAAACACAGCTCCAACAGAAAAGCAGCTAACAGCAAAGGAGATAGATGTATTTCTTAACAAGATCACAACCCGCTTTTAAAAATCTACTCTTTATACCGAGGATTGTCATGAGGCCTCTCTTACCAGGAGTCGGAAAACTGTGACTACAACTTCTCAGCCACTGAATTACCAAGACTTCTGACAGCTTTCCTTACCATGTACGACCTGAGTGGGAATTCTCTGGAAGCTTTGCTTTTACACCCGAATGAGGGTGGCACCTCAGACAAGGGCGGCAAACTGTTCAAACTGTCCTGACTCTGGTTTACCTCTGAAACCTCACTGGCCCGATGCCCTACGTAGGCCCTATAGGGAGGTCAGGAATGGTTCAGCAGGCACAGAGGTCACCAGAAGGAACATACACAAGAAAGCAAGAGTTCCTCCCGTTGCACTTACCTGCTGCGTGCACAAAGTATGCCAAGTATAAGTCGAGTTCCTTAACAGAAACTCCTATGTGATGGGGCTGGACACAGAGCCCTGGATTGGAGCACTGCGGGGACTTTACAAGGCGCTCGCCATCAGTACTTTCCAGCGGAATACCTTTGAACAAGATCACCATGACGAGGTCCAACCTCCACACTTTATCTGCCTGGCGGAGGCAGTCAATTCTCCGCATCTTGCCTTTCTGGTCTGGGTTGGAAAGAACACAGCATGGAGGTTTTTTCCCTGTGACTGTAAGAACAAAATCCTCTCGGTACTCAGGTCGGATGTCTTTCCGTAACTTGGCCAGAAGTCTGGAAGCCCACTTCTGCTTGACTTCGGGCTTCTCACTTAGCAGTTCATCCTTCACAGCCCTCTCCTCTTCTTTCGACATGCGCTTCTCGTGCTTTTTGAAGTATTTTCGCTTTCGGGCCTGCAGGTTGAACCATGTGTAGGCGAAGGCGCGGACGTGAGGCAGAAGGGCTTCAATAAAAGGATGGAACTCATCCTAGGGAAAGGGGAAAAAAGGATGAAACTCATCCTAGAGAAAGGGGAAAAAGGATGGAACTCATCCTAGGGAAAGAGGAAAAAGGATGGAACTCATCCTAGGGAAAGGGGAAAAAGGATGGAACTCATCCTAGGGAAAGGGAAAAAAAAACCAAAAATACAAATACGACCAGCACAAAAGAAGACAACTTGCTCTGGGAGCTGTCCCAAAGAAACCCTTCATCTCACATGAAATGTGGTCCAAGGATTATATTACCTGTAAAATCATATGTAAAATCCCTTAGGGCAGCCAAGGGGAATGGGGACACACTGTCAGTACCATTACTTACCTTCTGAAAGGGGAAAATGGCTAAGGATTTGTCAACATTTTGGTACATTGTACCGTGCGGCCTACTTCCCAGATCCTTTACACAGCAGGCCCAGTTTATCTAAACTTGTCTAGCAATATATACTCTTAACCCTATTTCAAGGAGGCCATATCTGCTTTTGTCCCAGCCTCGACCTCACCATTTGTAGTGCAGCCAGGGCCTAGCAGCCAGATTGGCAAATCCGAAACACTCAGGTGCCAGTCAAGGAAGTCTAGGAGCAAGGCCCATCTCCACCGTCAATGAAAACAAAGGCTTTCCCTCTGGAGAGCTGGTGTAGACTCTCATCTGCCTCCATGTATTTTGGTAATATCTCAATTACTCTTCTAAATATTATAGTTGCCGATAATTTACCAAAAAACTGAAAGATATAAAAACGTGGTAGGTCTTTTCAGATAAGACCTGAGGGAAGATCTAGTGTTCTTTGAGCCAAAATAAAAGGTCCATGCCCAAGAAATCATTACCGAACTATGGGAAGAGAACAAAAAAGGAGTGTGTGTGTGGGGGGGGGACCCACCAAACAAAGCAGAGTTCCATGCCCAGAGTAAAGCCTCACCGTGACGGCACTCTTGCAACTGAACACATTTAGTGCCTGAGAGGACTGGACACCCTCGAAAGCAACCAGACCTGTAAGACGCATCATCTCACTTTTCAAAATAATATTTCAGCTCTTTCCCCACCAGCAAACAGAAGACTCAAGGAGAACCTTCACAGATCTCTCTTTAAAATACATAATTTGAAGAGAAAATTGAATTTAAAGCATTTGAATTTTTCTTCCTGGCTTACTTAAAAAGTATGTGATTCTTATGTTGATGTTGGTCAGAAATTTTAAGTATAAAGATTTTTTAAAAAGTTAAACAGTAACATTCACAAGCGTTTCAGAGAGGACATCCAACTCTTGATTAACTAGGCCACACCAATTTTATATAACGGCTTTCTGCCACAAAGATAAATTATTTACTTTCAAATAAATGAAGATAAGGAAGCTAGAGGAATATTTGGTGACTTTTTAAGAAGAGTTAGAGTTAGAGTGAACAAAGATAAGTATATTCATTTTTTAACGTTTGTTATATCAACCTAAACACTAAGGTACAAGAAACTGTAATGCCAAAAATAGTATTACTACTAAAGAAGTTATTAAAATTTTAAACATTTGAAGGTACACCAAAGGTATTATATTTCAATCGTGAAATATGTTAAATTTTTTTACAAATTTTAATCAACTATGTAAATATTACACATAGCAGGATTCTTTAAAGTAAGTCTATAATAATATAATTCATATTTAATTGTCAGAATAATTAGCCTTTTCTCTCTTTCTGCACAAATTTTTGATTCCATGGCTCAAGTTCAGTTTTGAAACTTGCTCTTTTCAAAAAAAAGGAATAATAAAAAAAACTGGCGAGCTTTGGTTAGCATGTGCACATTCTTCAAGTGTGGGAAAAAGAGTAAAATACAAGAAATAAATTATTCTTTACCATAAACCATTAGCATTTTAAAACTGCATAATGTTTAGGAATCTTTATTCCTTTGGAAGGAAAATGCAGGGGGCAAGTCGCAGTTTATCCGCTAAGGTACATGCCAAACCACAAAGCATTTAAATATTACTAAGTTATGAGCTCATCCTTGAAATGCTCTGAAATACACAAATGCTACATGTTTCATACTGACTGACATGCAGATGTACACAGGACACAGTAGAGACTAAGACTCTTGTGGCACTATGGGAGGAATCTCTGAGGGCAACTTTAAACTACAGTGAGCCTTCTCCAAAAGGAGCCTTTCATTTTAGACTCACTCAGCTCCATTTTATAAGGCAAGTAGCTCCAAACACATCATATCTGTGCTAAGGCATTACCTTATTAATGATAATAAACATGTTAAATAAACATCCTAACGTGGTTATTTTATATGTCCTAAGACACTTCCTAAAACCTGATAACTGCATCGGTTAAGAAGTATTGCATTCACCTGCCAACCAGATGCCCATGTATCTCTTCATAAAACATAAAAAAATAAAAAATCTGAAAATAAGGTCAACCCGTCATCATGGACAATCTACATTCCCCAGTATTGCATCAGAAGTATTTACCATGTATTATTCCTCCCAAGGTTCCCAGACCGTGACTAAAAGTATATAATATTTTATGTAACTTTACTTATACTTAGTCAACGTATTGATGCACATATCCCCCCAAGCATACAAACTTAAAAAAAAATTACAGGAAACGTTCAAAGAAAGCATAACTGTTCCGGGGGGGGGGGAGCATGTTCTCATAAGTCATGCTGCTGAACAAAACACCATAAACTCTGCAATATTTCAAAAATATCCATGAGAAAACAAGTAATATTTTACATACATACTGGATGAGAATGTCACAGCCCACCAATAAAAATAAACCTGTGGACCTGCTTCCAAGCCGTGTGGCTTTGCATCGGCATCTAAAATGTGGATCTATTTGAAGGCAAGCCAATTTTAAGAGCCACAGAATAGTGGGAGTGCTGGAAACTACTTTTTTTTTTTAACCTAAAAGCTTTACTCATAAATTTCGGCTGAACTGTCAGGATTTAGGCAGGTACATGAGTTGATTATGATATGCCCATCCTCAATCAAAAGAAGAGGCCTGGCATTCTCAAGGTAAAGCCCCTTCAAAGTGCACACAGCATACTGAGTTCACTCTTACAGTTAGAGTACATTTATCACCATGCTTACTGGATCTTTTTTTTTAAATGAGCAATAAACGACCTAAGTTTTTCTTTCTGAAACTGGCTCTAACGTGTTATAAATATTCCAGAAAGTTAAATAAATTGTAAATCAACTTTTAAAGACCCTCTCATAAAACAAATGAGCCTTTATTCCCTGTTTATTGTACATTTTCTTCACAAACTGCTACACCAAACGAGCGTCTCTCTTAGTGGTGTGGAGGCCTAGTGAATGCATCAATCAATGCTGCCAAGTGTGCAGGAGGGGGAAAAGGGAAGAAAAAAAACTTTCTTAACGTGATAATAACTCCAGAGAAGCCAACTTTGTTAAATACCTGCCTATGTCTGGGGCCTGCATGGATACACAGGTATGCTCCTGAAATGCACACCCAGAGCAGAACTTTAGCTTTGCAAATCTCACTCGAGAAGACACCCTTGTGTCCATAAGGGTCTTTCTCTCTTGCTATTGCAGCATGCTGGTATTATCTACAAGTTCTATGTGTTGCAAACTTTTGCCAATTGGAATTTCAGCCTTCGAATCTCAGCACTTTCACTGCAGACTATAATTCATTCAAATTATCTTACACTTTGCATCTTATCCATATGCAATTGTGAACCTTGCCAGAAGTGGTTGGAGAAGTTTCATTCCATCCTTCCACAAGTTACTAAAATAGTAACTTTGGAAGTGTGTGGGGGGGGCACTTTTACAATAACTAAAACAACTGCTATCCATTATTAATGTGAGGCCTAAATCCCAAACAGACCATCTCCACATAAAAGATGCATTTAAGAGTCTTCTGAGATCAAATAGCCAGTGTTATTGCTGTTAGATACTGCAGTAAGAAGGGAAGTCATGTGGGAAATAAATCCAGAATCTAGAGGGGAGAGGAAAAGCTACTGATACTTTCAGCCTTCCAAAGTATTCCCGGTAAACCGTTAGCTCCAGCTCATTGAAGGCACAGTGGTAGCAGGATTTTGAGGGAGTCATGAATAAACCTTGTACTGGAAGCATATAACTTCATGTAGGTGATTACTGGTCAGACTGCAATGTTTAAAAGCAGTATAGAGACTCGTGCTTAAAAAGAAAAATTAGCGCAAATCACTCTGACTTTATGCCTTTTAGTCAGAAAAAAAAATAAATAATATATTCAAACGGGACCAGATCCGGAGCCGCAAAATAGCAGTGTTTTCTTGCCCGTGGTGCAGACAAGACCGGGAGAGATGGGTTGGGAGGCTCGAGCAGGAGGGGCGGAGGGGCTCTAAGCCCCACTCTGCGAGTGGGGTTGCAGGGAAAGTTGCCGGGTCCTGCGTGCTGAACCGCCGGGGCCGTGCACAGGCGACAGCAGCGGGGCAGGCGACTCTGGTCCCAGCCGCCGCTCGACCTCGGGCCGGAGCCCCACTCCACCCGCAGCGGCCCAGCCCGGCCCGACCCGCGGCCTCGCCAGCTCTCTGGCCTGCGCGGCGTGGGCACGCCCGACCCCGAAACTTTCGCCTGGGGCCGCGCGGGGCCGGAGGCGAGGACGCAAGGTCCTGGGCCAGCGCCGGGTGTGTGTCCACACAGCCCACGGGGCGAGGGTTCGCACCGCCCGCTGCGTCCGAGGGGCGCTGCCCGGCCCGGCCCGCAAGCTGGCACAAAACAAAAGTAAGAGTTCGGGGCGTCGGCGGGGGGCGCGGTGGCGCGGGAGGGCGCGGGCAGACAGGGCGCCCCGGTACAACCAGCTTGCGGGGCTTTGCGGGCGACTCAGCCGCCCCTCCCCGGCGCGGAGGAACCGCGGGCACCGCGCTCCGCGCCGCAGACGCCGAGTCCAGATTGCAGCGTGTCAGGGGCTGCAGCCGCGGACACACGTGCGGGGCGCCCGCAAAGCCCCAGCGCTCTGCAGTCCGGAGCCCCGATATTAATTAACGCATTAATAAGAGGGCGCCATTAGCCATGTGCCCACACAAATGGCCGAGCAGGAGGAATGCACCCGCATGGAAACAAAGTTACTTTCTTAAAGCTGCAGCCCCCCCCCCCGCACACGCGCGCGCACACACAGAAACACGCGCAGACACGGCTCCCGCCGAGGCACACGGCCGCCCCGCGCCCCCGCAGCTGCTTACCTGGGTGAGACAGAGCGGAGAATACATAACTGCCGGGCGGCGGGGGGTGCGTGCACGTCTGTGTGCGGGCTGGAGGTGTGCGTGAGTGTGGGTGCGAGAGGGAGAGAGAGAGAGAGAGAGAGAGAGAGAGAGGAGGAGAGAGCTAGGAGAGGGGGGGAGGAAAAAAAAATCAAGCCTGATTCTTGCGTTCACATTTCCAACTCGGCTCAACTGCAGCAGCCAGCGCTCTTGCCGCTCCACGCGCTGAACTTTAACCCCGCCTAGAGTTTCCCTACACTCCACTATACTGTCTACTGTACGCGGGCGTTAAAGGCATAGCGCACCCTTTCCCGCTCCCGCGCCGGCCGGCCGGGTGCCCGCGAGCTGCCCGCGCGCCCGCCTGCGCCGCGTTCTGCACCGCACCGCTCGGCCGCCGCCCGCTCGCGCCGCCGCGGGGGGGGGGGGGAGAGGAGGGCTGGGGGGGGGGGAGAAACTGGGTGGGGGATGGGCGGCTGCGGCGCTGACACCGGTCCCCAGCCTGTGCCGCTGCCCGCCCGCCGCTTGCTCCGCGCTCGCTGCCTCCCGCGGCCCCCGCCCCCGCCCCGCTCGGCGCGGTCCCGGGAACGCGGCGGCGGAGCGGTTTTCAGCGTGTCCTCCGGGCGGCTATAGGCTGCCACAGGATGTGCTTAAGCAAACAAAACTACTTTTCCTCCTCCCCATCCCCCCACCCGCGCCGCAGCCCTCCGCGGACGTCGGTGGAGGACTGGGGCAACTTTGCCAGGGCGCCCCGTACCCCCGTGGGCCCCTGGGTGGGCTCCCTAGAAGCCCCAGACAAGGGCGCGAGGTATATTTGCATGTATGCAAATTTCTTCTAAAAAAAATCAGACCTTCTAGGTAACTTTCACCACCCCCCCCTCCTCTGAAATGCGGTAAAGCTCAAAGCATTGTAATCTCTCCTGCGAAGCTTTCTGTGGGAATAGTGTCGTCGGCAGAGGTAATTATGCACAAAAGCCTGCTAACTTTGTGCAGCCATGGCCCTAAAGCAGTCAGAACCCGGGTGCTGGGGAATGCTAAGATCACCCCAAAGATTCCCCCAGATTGCGGAGGAGGAGGGATCTGGAGAAAAAGCAAGGCAGGGGAGTCATGAGCGGTCGTTCTTCTAGAAGTCGGGAGTTGGTGGGTTTGAATACAAACGCCCAAAAAAAGTTATGTCACGTCAGAAACAACAGTGGTTTAGCTGGGACATCTTTCTGTGTGTTGAGAGGGAAACGTGTGAAAGGGTTGTCCCCTTAGGAAAGGGATATATATTTGTGTTCCCAAATTGAAGCCCAGAACTGGACATGGGCTACCTCCGAGTCTGCGTTCCCCAAACACCCTCTAGAAGGGTGCGTTTTGTGAGTCCTTAACTCCCCCCCCCCCCGCGTCCTCCAGGTAATATTTCTGAAAAAATGGAAAAGAGCTTCCTGCAATTATTTTAGGTTTGCTAAAGTATTGTTTTGGTGCGGGGGGGGGCGGTTTTAGGGTTTGGCACGTTGCCAACAAGCCTGCTCTTCCAGCTTTCTTTTTTCTTTTTCTTTTTTTAACTTCGCTTTTTCTCTCTAGGCTCGCTTTCCTCCCGAAAGGGGAGGGGGTTATACCTGTCTTCTTCAAACTCTCATTTTTTCCCCTCTTCTCTTTCCTGAAGTTTTGCATCCTCCTGTTTTTACCAGTCCTTCTCAAAAATCCCCAGATTCCGACACTGGCACACAGACCAGGGATCTGCTCCCTGGTGGAGGTGACAGGGCTAGATTCTACAGGTATGCCCACCGGACAGAAAACAGAAAGGTGGCTGGTGGAGTATGGACATTTGTCATTCAGATTGTTATTTTTTTTTTGGAGGGGGCAAGAATACTACTACAGAAAGCCAACTAAAATGTTCTGCAACAGACTGTACCTCTAAAGTTTTGTTTGTTCTCTAGTCCTGTTGGGGCTAAAATATTTGCCCCGATACTCATGAATCCATTCTTTCCCACCCGCCCCCTCCCCCGCTCTTGATATTCTTGGAAACCTGTTCATTATTTATTAATGACTGAAGGAAAATAATAACTTCAACTTTTAGTTAGGACGTTCATTTCGCCAAACTAAGAAACCGCCTTTCTTTGGTTCCTCGTGTCTTTCAGTAAGGAAGAAATGTCCTCCAAGCTAAGGGGAGTTAGAGAAACATTCCTGGCCAGGAAACCCTTTGCTAGGATCTATAACTTCAAGACTCTCCAAGTTTCCTCGACAGAAGTTTCTGGCTGAGGGACCCAACATGTAACTGAGGCACGGTGACAAGTTATTGTCCCGTGTGTGCTCTGGGGAAGCTCCTCCAAAGCAGATTGATTTTATTTTTATTACTATTATTATTTATTATTGTGTATATAAAGATACACTTCACATCTGTCTCTTCAAAAAAGCAAAGATTCTTACTTTTGATTCTCAAAGGGAATTAAAAAAAAGTAACTGGCTTTCGCCATACCTTCTTTTTTTAAATGGAGGAAAGTAATTGAATGCTGATATTTCCACTTTAGAAACTTCTTTTGTTGCAGCAGTGGATGTGCCCGCGATTTCCAGCATTCTGCGGTTAGCAATATTATCTTAAGTAACTTTTGGCGCCCTTCGTAAGACTTTTGGATATGGGACGATTGTTTGCGCCCTCTAGGCAAGGGCTGGATCCAAGTTCAGCACCAAAGCCCTCCACATCCGCTCCTGCTTTCTCTCCTATCTGTGCCAGCTCCTGCTCCCTCCCCCGCTCCGGAGGAGGGTGGAAGGGCGGGGGAACACTACAAAGCCCAGTTCCAACTACAGCCTTTACAAACTAGACTGAGAAAAATACCGTAGAAGAGTTACAGTTACAGAATGGCTTCTGGAAACTTTCTCTCCAACAGGCATAAATTTAAACACACAAAGAAACAGATGTTCCTGAGAGGACTGACAGGGTAAAAAGCATTTCTAACTTTCTCCCTTCTTCTAGGTTGCAAAAGTAAATCCTTGTCTAGAGTTCACAAAGATACTAAGGGAGGGAGAGGAAGGAAGGACAGGGAAAAAGGGGGGAGGAAAGGGAGGGGCAAAGAGAAGGGAAAAGAGCGTGTAGGAAACACAGGTGATATATGAAAACTAGTTTATTGCAATCATATAAATGACCCATTGTTAGGAAGAGTAAACCCCTTATTGGAAACATTACTCCAGTCGTTTATTTTGCAAATGGTAGGAGGCTGCCTTGAAACCGGATTGTCTTTGCAAAAAGGAGGTTCCTGCCATGCTCTCTGCTATCCATATTCTCCCTGGCACAGAGCCCAGCCTTGCATTTACTGTTTTATTTGCAGAAATGTTACCTTGCCAGCTTTAGTGAAATCCTCTTAGATGTATAAATTACGTCAATAAAGTTTCATTTCTACATACATCTGAAATACCTCTCATTTCTAGTCTACTTAATTGGGAAATTGTATAAATGTGATTTAGATTTTAATGCCCAAAGTAATGAAGATGGGACTAGGATTTCTAAGTGACAATACCATTTGCTCTATAGTTATTACCAAGATTAACTCTATTAACTAGCATTTCCCAGCATTTTCTTCACTAATTTTTAACTTGCTGGTCACACATGGAGATTTCTCTTACTTGCATATAATCCCCAACTGAATCATGTTGCAAAATTGAGCATACAATTGATTTGTCACATCAACTTTCTAAACCAGGTTTGACTGCAAGGCCCAAGGCCTAAGGAAATAGTTGCATGAGAAATCCATATTATTTTCCATTCATTCCCTGAAGAATTAGGAGGTGGTTAATATATTTGAGCCAGAGGCTGCAAGTTACCTCTCCAAGACAAACTAAGGTAGTTGGTTTCAACAAACAGATGTCAAGGACTTGAACAAGAGACCAGACTGCAGCTAATGGGAAGAGTCCATCATCTTCCACACATACACCCTCCAGGAGGGTTGTTGTTCTAACAAGAAGAAATGTGGAGTTGGTGGCTCTTAAAACGCTCTTTGCTACTGACCACCAATTGAAACAGTAGAATTCAAGAAAGTCTACTCCTTCCCTCCTCCTTTCCAAATCTATAGAACAGCTGTCCATCCACCTATGAAGTCTAAAAGAACCAGTGAGAAGCTTTGAAACACGCAGTGCGTCCCTCAGCTTGAGGCATATCTTCAAAGAAGGTAAACCTCTCCTTTTACAAGTTACCAACTTCCCCGAGTATTAAAAACAACAACTAATCCAAGGTTAAATATTACTCTAGCAGAATTTTCCAAAATTGCAAAGTTAAAAGGCACACAGAATTCATGCAAAAATCCCCCAAACAGCTTTTTTTCTCCTTTAAACTCAAAAACCCTTTCCTATTGTGATTGCTAAATCCGGAAGCGCGGGTATCTTTCTTTGACAGCTTGAACTACACACCATCCCCTTCAGAACTGCAAAGAACTTCAGATCTCCTTTGCCCCGCCCCCTAAGGCTATTACGAACCATTGTACACCCAAGCTTTCTCCTGATTGGATAGAGCTTCTGTCAATCTCTCAGGTTGTCCCATTGATTAGAGGATCGAATCGTCAATTATTCTCGGGTCCAGACAGTTCTTTTCGGGTTAGGTTGACTGCAGAGGCCAGACGTCTTTAACAGAGCAGAGCACGTACAGGATCCCCCGCCTCCCCCTCCCCCCTTTTCTGGAACCGAGCAAGCGCTAGGAAGAAAAAAATCTGTTAAGCTCAGCAATTTTTTCAAATCCTGAAAAAAAAAAAAGAAAGAAAGAAAAAGAAACCCGGTCTCTGCTGCACATAATAAAACGCCATCCACAAAGCTGCATCTTTAAAAGAAAACCATCACAATAGACATTTACCCAGCAATCACTTAAGTGCATATTCAAGCTAGAGAAATTTTAAAGTCTTACTCATTAAGCATAACCATTCTACCGTTGTTTATATAACACATATAGTATAAATGTAAAATAGAAAGTTTAAGATGTACCACGTACCATTGCAATGTAAAAAGAGTACGTGAAAAACTTTAAAATGCTCAGACGAATTGCTTCATAGCTTGTCCCCTGTTTTTTGCATTAAAAAAAATAGCTAAATAAACTTGGAACCGTTGAAAACCCGGAAGAGATTTTTTTAAAGCTGCTGGCCAATTGCAGGCTTCTTGGATAATTTTTTTAACTCCAAATCAAAAGGCTTCTGCCACTGCAGAACTCCTCTCTCTCTCTCTCTCTCTCTCTCTCTCTCTCTCTCTCTCTCTCTCTCTCTCTCTCTCTCTCTCTCTCTCTCTCTCTCTCTCTCTCTCTCTCTCGCCCCCTCCCCCTCCCCTCTCTCTTTCTCACAACACAATCTCTCCCTCTCCCGCGGACTCTCTCTTTCTCTCTCTCTCTCTCTCTTTCTCTAAAAGCGATCCAATCT